ATGGGGCTGAGTGACTGGGCAGGTGGTCCTGGGAAAAACTGTCCCTCCTCCGGCAAGACAGGTGCAGGCGGAGAGACGGACAGACGGGACAGGCTCCGGCAGCTTCATTAAGGGCTGCCTGGGGGTCATGAAGATGCAGGACGCAGCAGGAACGTGTCCTGAACACGCCTGGGCTCCCCCCTCTCCCCCACATCACTCCCCCCGCGTTGCTAAGTTAAAACAAAGCGAAACAAAGGCCCAGCTTGGCTTTGGAGCCACAAACTGCAAGCTTTTATCTGTCAACAAGGGACGTGTCAGCCTGGCAGGGGCCCAGCCTGGGTCCCGTGACCTGGCATCGGCGTGAGGAGAGGGCGCCGAGGCTGAGCCCAGGGTCTCGCTGAGGCTGCCATCCCTTCTCGAGGCACAAGACCGAGAGTCCTGGTGGTCACAGGCTCAGAAGGATGCAGTTCCACCCAGGAGCCAGGAAGCAATGGAGGGTGGGTGGCTGGAGTGGGGAGGGGGAGATCGCTAGCAGGAGCTGCCCCGGAAAAGGCTCATCGTTGGGCTGGTCACCTCCCTCCCTCCATCCTTTCCTTGCCGCCTCTTCCAGGAAACCTTCCCAGCTCTCCTTCTTCTCTGAAAGCCTGCTGACTTGGGATTGTAGGATATCAAGAGACTGTAAACCAGTAGCCTTCAGCATTATCTGGAAACTTTATGAAATATTAGAGAGTTCAGCTGTTGTGGATTAAGTATGGGGTGTAGACTCATCTGTGCTCAGTGGAGACCTTGGAGGGAGGGAGGGAAGGACCTGAGAAGTTTGATTTGGATCCACTAATCGTGGCCTCTACCATTGTTAGAGAAAGCAGCCGCAGATTCTATGTTACGTCATTGCTGCTTCCTCTGTATATCAAGGGCTTATTTAGCATGTGTTTCCGTGGGAATCACCCAGGATCTGTTAGCTCATCTAAGCTCCTGCTCAGGCGAGCAAGATAGGGCTCTGGTGGTCCACAGTTTGCAGGCGAGTTCTCTTTGACTGCAGGGTCTATGCCCAGTGTGAGGACCTGCAGATCGGCCTGGAAAGCTGGGCAGCCAGAGATCAGATGATAAAAGGCCTTCTGTGTAGGCAAAGGGAGGCCAGGGAACCCACTGACGCAGGAGAGAGACATGGCCCCTCCGCATTCATGGGCTCAGTCTGACAGCAAAGGAGAAGGCAGGTTGGAGGGAACAGAGGGAGCGGGCTGGCCAACCAGCCAGGAGCCCGTTTGCAGTAAGCGGACAGGCAGTGAGAAGGCTGAAGCCGGGCCGGGCTGGGCAGTGGCGGTGGGGGTGGGGAGTCAAGGGTCATGTGGGAGACGTGCGCTGGAAGAGAAGCAATGCCGGGGAGAGCAGAGAAGAGTCTGATGGGCGTGGGTTACGCAGGGGCGCGCTGTCTGAAAATTCAGTGGCCGTCTGCTCAGGGTGTGTGCACTGTTGCGACATGTGTTCTGTTTTAATTAAAAAATAGAGGAGAAAGCATCAGAGGAGACATTAAAATCTCTCCTCCGGGCCCCATCCGGGATTTTCCTTATAAATCGAGAGCCGGCTTCCCTCACACAGTGCAAATTTGCTTTTTCCGGAAGAAAAAAGAGGAGGAAGAAGATGCGAGTTTTGAGCCAGACCTCGCAACACGGCAGGACCGACCGATAGTCGCACATTCGCTACCGCTGATTAAGCTCTGACTGTATTCACGGTCTAAGGCTCAGTTATTTTTTAATATTTGAATGTCTCTGAAACCAGGACGCGTCATACAATAAGTGACGTCCTCCTTAATTCACTTAAAGGTCGTGTTTTTTCCTTCGAGAAGTCCGTGAAATGATGGTCCGATTATAATCTGCGGGGTCTTACATTCAAGAGATGGGCCTCTGCGTGCCCGGCTCTCTGTGTAGACGTCCCCGTGGAGTCCTCACGGCAGCTGGTGACTCAGCGGCTGTTGCTGACGCTCTTCCTCAGAGTGGGAGTCGAGGCACGAGGTGGAAGGTCACTTGCTCAAGGTCACAGGGCTCGTTAGAGCTGGACTCAGCATTTCCAGCTGTGCCACCCCACACCTGAGGAGTCTTTGTGCAGAACAAGAGCAGGTCTGGGGGCCCGAGGATGGTGGCCTTTTCCTTTCTCCAGCCCGAGACGCCCAGGTCAACCGCGACCACTATCGCCTGGCCCACCATCTTTTGATGCTGCCTCTTGTCACCCAGGATCATTTCCCCTCTTGGCCCTAAACCCTGGGATTCCTTCTCCGTCCTAGGAGGGCTCTGGGTCCGACATCTGTGGTGACCTGCCTCCTGCACGGAGAGGAGGGGCTGAATGAGCTGTCGGGGTTGGGGAGGGGGGGGAAGGAGGAAGAAATTCCAAGCCCAGCTGGTCTCTCGCACACGCAGATTTGCCTAAATAGGATTCAGGCTTAGGGCAGGATTTTGCTCTCCTGGCACACTGGCAATAAACTAACCCCCTCGCGGGCTGCGGGAGGGCAGGAGGGCAGAATTCCTCCGAAGACGGAGGCAGCTTCAGGCCCGGAGGGCGAGCCTGCAAAGTGCTTTAGTTACTGCCGGGCCCGCCCGCCGCCTGACATCAGCCCCCAGCCTCTTCCCAGCGTGGCCGCAGCCTTTCATGCCGCTAACGTGTGACATTCACCCGGGCTGCGTGGCTGACAGGCACGCCTGACATTAATACGTGTTCCTCGCGGTCCCCAGAGCTCATAAAAGCTCATTATCAGTTCTGAGCCGGGGAATATGGTACCCGGCTCAGGTGCGCCCGGGATCCCCGGAGATGCCCCTGGGCGGTGGGGCTGTGTGCAGCGTCGTGAGCCTGGAAATAAACTCCTCCCTTCGTCCAGCCACTGGGCGGTGACCGGAAAAACCCCGGGTTCAAAGTTGCGTCCCAGCAAAGGGACTCCTTCCGCCCTGGTGTTTAAGGGGAGCTGGTCCAGCACTTTGGGAAGGCGGTTTATCAGCGTCTGCTCAGATGTGCTGTGTGCAGGGCCTCGCCCGGCTCTCGCACTTGTGGGCATCCGGGCTTTGCAGCGCGTGGACGTTTCCACACGGAGATGTGGGCACCATGGGGCCCATCACAGCAAGGTTTAATGGCCGGAAATGGAAATACCCCCACATCTGTGGTGGGAGAGGTAAATAAATTACGGTCCACACCTCCTGGGCTGTTACGCGACTGTGGAAGGCTCCAGGTCGCTCTCTTCTCGCTCGTGGGTAGATGTGACAGCAGTGATACTGGGGGTGTAGGATGCGTGAGGCAAGAGCCCGTTTGTGTCGTCACACCGTCTGCACGTGGGCCCACCTGGCGCGCGCACACACACACACACACACACACGTGATCCTGTAGAATAAAGTCTGGGAGTCATGTTACAAAGATTTCGCAGTGGTTCTCTCGGTTAAATAGGATGGACGGGTTAAGGAATAACTTTCGCTTTTGTAGTTAAGAATGAAAATTATTTGCATACGGCCACGTACATCCGTGTGTGTCTGTGTGTGTGTGTGTGTGTGTGTGTGTGTACGGTCGCTTAACAACGGGCATGCGTGCTGAGAGCTGCGTCGTCAGGCAATTTCGTCACTGTGTGAACATCATGGAGTGTGGTTACACAGACTTGGATGGTACAGCCTGCTGCACACCTAGGCCGTGTGGTACTCATCTTATGGGACCACTGTCTTGTATGTGGTCCGTCACTGACCCAGACATCGCTCATTGTGCGGCGTGGGACTGTATGTATGTCTGCATATGGATGTGTATGTATGTGTGTGTGTGTATACATATCATGAATTCCTCTGATTGTCGCCTCCGTCTGGTCTGTGATCCACGCGGTCCCCTGGGCTGAGGCAGAGATGGCCAGATAAACAGTCTCGCCTCCTCCGGCCACGCCGTGGTCCCCCTCCATTAGTGGGGCTTCTGAGAAGCTCCACCGTGCGGAGGGCGCCGAGGCGGCATCCACAGCATCGACCTTGAGCCCTTGCTCTCTGCTTGCACGTCTCCCGCTGTGGGATTGGCGCTTGGCACCAGGCCTCCCTGCCCGTGGGCCTGCGCTCCAGTCCCAGCCTTGCCCCACTGCAGCTGTGTGCCCTTGGGCAACTTATTGACTCCTCTGGTTTGTGGTCATGGTCCCTAACGTGGGGGTGCCTTCCCACGGGATCAGAGAGGGTCATGGGATTATTGTCGTTGTCCCTTGAGCCAGCAGGACACTTGGTGAGGGCTTCCCCTGTGCGGCCTGCTCACTGGGGGCGGGGAGCCTGGGGTGAATGGAGTCGGGGGAACCTGGCTCCCCTCCCCTGGAAGCCTTGCTCTTCTGCTTCTCAGCCGTGCGTGCGAGCAGACGCGTCCCCTGGGCCTGGCAACAGCCTCACCTGGCACGTATGTGGCCTGGACACGGGGAATTTGATCCTTCGCTCCTGACCCGGGCCCCTCGTCAAACTGACGGGGGAAGCGGGAGAGGCTGGGCTTCTGGCCCCTGCCCTCCCTGGCTGAGATGCTTGTTTCCCCACCAGACCCTCTCTTCTTATGGCTTATCTCTTCCTGGATCCACAGCTTGAGGGTGTTGGTCTGCCCCAAGCCTCCTTCATTAAGCAAAGGTGAATTCTCCTTCCCATTTTCCAAATTGCTCAGAAAGCCTTTTTCCCGCCTGAGGAGGATGGAGTTCTCACGCCGTGTTGATCATGTTCTAGCTGGAAGCAAAGAAACGTGATGTGATGTGATTTGCAGACTCAATGTCCCCGCGTGGACGTTGCGCTGGCTCCCGGGCTGATTCTGGAAGCCTGAAAGTATGCCCCAGCCCGGAGGCTCCGGGACGCCGTCCTGGGGCCCGTGGGAAGGGATGCGGACCGTGTCTTGCTGGCTGGGGGCGCCTGTGTGGCCTCTGCGGCTGCAGAGATGGAGGGAGGGGACACCCACATGAGTGGGTGCACGTCTGAGCTGAGTGGCCCTCAGCCACAGGCCCCGCTCACCACTGCCTCTTTAGCACTTACTTCCCTCTCTTCTCCTCCTCTTAGAGTTTACGGAAGCCGCCGTTGGAAAGAGACCTCGAGGCGTCTTTCCACCCCTGAAAGGAGAAGAAAGCGGTGGAAAGAGGTATGACGTGGCAGTGTGGCGGAGTGGCATCCTCCCTCGTTCAGAGAAGGGGTCCACCCTTCTCTCTCCTCTCGCTGCCCTCCAGACCCTCTACGTCCGAGCCGGAGAGCTCTTGGCTCGTGCTGGGGCGCAGGGCAGGCCGAGGGCCGCTTGACTCTTGGCCGCACCCCCGATGTTTGTTCAGGGATGGGGAGCAAAGGGGAGGATGGAGCAGCGAGGCCAATGCTGGGGTGGGGTCTCTCCGAGGCTGGCGGCTGCCCCGGTGAGGGGCCATGGGTCATAGTGGCTCCGCAGGGTCCATCCAGGAGGTGAGGGCTGAAGGGTTGGAGGGGGCGAGCCCGCCACAGGGAGGCAGCGTTCCCGGGGGCGCACAGAGGGTCCAGCCTGTGTCCCCTGCTTCCCAGGCCTCCCCACACCCACTGCAGTCTTGGGCCTTCCTAGGGTGACCCCTCCCCCCCATCGCAGGGCTGTCTGTTGGGTAGCATTTAAACCCACAGGACTCGGCCCCATCACCACATTCCGTGATGGAATCGGGAGTGGAGAAGGCCTGGGCTGCTTCTTGGCCTGGTCCTTGGGTTCCCGGGACCGGCGGTGGGCTGGGTGGCCTCATGGAAGGTTCCTGAATGAGGAGCCAGGACGTCTGTCCTCTGACCCAGTCTGTGCCACCATCATGCCACACGAGTCCTCATCAGCCGTTTCCCTCGTTGGGCCTTGTTCTCTCCTCTGTAAGATGGGGCGGCAGTGACTGGAGTCCCTGTTCCGGCCCTCATGTCCTCGGTTTCTGAGCTTCCTAGACCACGGCTGGCGCAGAGGACATGACAGGTGTGGGGGGCAGCCGGGAGGGGCGGGTGCCTGGGGACAGCTGCTGAGCGGAGAGGGGATTTGAGAGCTCCTAGGAGATTTGGTCTCCAGTCTGGGCAAAGGACGACTGAGTCCTTCCGTGCAAAGACCCCAGGGTCTGAGTGCAGATGGACCTGGTTGGAGTCCAGCTGATCAGAAGAGTCACTTTAACCTCCGCTGGCTGAGGCCACTCTCTGCCGGGAGAAGTGCCAGGCGCGCCCCTGCATCCTCTCATTCGCTTCTCTCAATGGCCCTGTGATCTTGGTCCTGTTCTCACCTTTCTTAGAGAAGAGAAAACCGGGCCTCAGAGAGGGTAAGCCACTTGCCCAAGGTCACACAGCAGTGAGCACTGTGGCAGAGGTTTAAAGCCCCTGCCTGGACGACCGTACAATTCTTGTGTATTTCACTTACCAGCTCAGACTTGAAGCATAAGGTTAAAAATAACTTTTTAGCTGAATCTGAAATTCCTGAAATTCCATTTCCTAAAGACATAAAAATGACTTGTTTGCTTGTCCTAGAATTTTTTTTTTTAAACTTTGGGCTCTTCTTAAAGTCCCTATGGGTCTTGGTTTTCTGATCTCTAAGGTGGGGGTATAGCACCTACCCGTGGGGTGGTTTTGGGGTGATAATGAGATGAAGGAGGTGAGGAAAGCCTCCCACACTGCCCCTCCCTACACCCCCCCCCCCGCCTCCCCCGCCCCGAGGGCCGCTGTGAGGGTGCATGGGGGTACACACTGTAAAGGGCTGTGCCCCGCCACCTGCTGGCCTTTGCACTTCCGTCCGCTTCCAGTGCCCCTGGTTGGGAAGCCCTCGGCCACGTTCCTCATCACCGATCTGATGTTCCCCAGTCTCGGAGCCCGTCCTCTCCTTTCTGGAGTGTGCTCGCTGGCTGGGAGTATTTTAGGCTGGGATCCAAGCAGGACATCCGGCTCCCAGCAGCCAGTAAAGCAGGGCTGGGCCAAGGCCTGAGTGGACGGTGGCAAAGAGTGGTGGGGCCCGGGGCCTGCGTGGCCTGTCCATCCCTGACGGCCTGTCCCACTCGGCCTGCCGCCGGGCCATCATCTTCATGGTCAGACTCCTGGCAGTGGCTGCCTTGAACCCCACAGGAAGCCGTCACCTTATCACAGAGCCTGGATCCGCGTGGTCTTCATCATCAGGAGACAGCGCTGAAGCGAGTCGGAAAAAGCTGGACTCGCCCGGGGCCTTCCAGCCAGGGATGTTCCCCAGCGGGTGGCTGTGGGCCCTGCTGGACGAGAGGAAGGGATCGTTCAAGTCCAGAGGACGGCAGCCAGGATGCTGCTGTTTCCGTTTATCTCCGGGAGGGCTGCCGAGGGAGCAGAGCCATGGTGCCTGGCCGCTCTTGTGTGCCAGGAAACAGAGGAACGCTGGAGTCCCAGGGAAACTTAAAGACGACCGCCGACGGCGCGTGCCATGGAGGGAAACCTCTGCTGGGGTCTGGGGGCCGGGCTGGCGGAGGCTGAGGCCCAGGCAGTGATTTGATGCCCCCAGTCTCCGTTTTCTCATCTATAAAGTGGGCAAATAGCACGCCCCGAAGTGGGTGGTGGTGAGGGCATGGGGCCGCCAGCGGGGCACTCCCGTTGGCCTTGGACGACGGCAGCCCCCTGGAAGAACATGGCCTTCCGAGGTCACCTCCCTCAAGAGGCTGGGGCTCTGGGGATGGACGAGCTGGGTGTTTGCGACTAACAGAACGGTCACCCTGGAGATGCATGCCTCTGTCTGTGCGGGGTCTAAAATGGGGCCGAGCGTGGGCCTGGGCTGTGTCAGCGCTCTGCTCTGACACCCTGGGCACAGGGCCACCCGGGTGTGGACAGCCCTTCTGGAGCTCCCTCCACGGTGTGTGCTGCTCTCCAGATGGTCTTGATGGGCCCTTTCTGGGGGTCTTTGCTGGTCCTCCCCTCACCCCGAGAGCCAGGGGTTCATAGGCGCCGTTTCGGCTTCAGAGAGGGTGTAAGTGCCTCCAGGCTTCTCCTCTGAAAAGCAGCAGGTCAGGACCCAGACCCAGCGCTCCTGCCCCGAGGGCAGTGTGGACTGGGGCTCCCACGGTGCCACAGAGGCCCTCCGTGTGTCCACAGCCACGTGCCGCAGCATCGTGACAGCACCTCACACCCACGGCACCTGCAGAAGCACCCACGTTGTCCCTGGGGCACCCCTCAGGACTCAGCATCACCCATGGCGGTGGCGCTGGTGCCCGTGTGTCACAGAGCCGCCTGCACACCCACAGGGACACCCCGTGGCGCCCGTGGTGGCGCTCTTCCCATGTTCTCCACCTGGCCTCGCGGACTTTGGCACTCAGACGGGAAGGGAAGTCCCCTGAGGTTTTACCCCCTGCCCGCCCCCTGTGGCAGGTGGAGCGAGTGCGTGAGGCCCTTTCCGGGAAGCGTGGGGACGGTGCTCCTGCAGAGGGCTGACCGTGCTCGGGAAGCAGGGGTGGGCAGCGGGCGGGTGATGGCGTCTGGCCGCCATGGCAGAGCCCCTCCCTGGGCCCCAGTTTATCGATTTTCTCCTTTGGGGTTCAGCCTTCTGGGGTTCCTATCTGAGGATCCATTGCCAAATGCAAGGTCATGAAGATTCCCCCGCCTTTCCTTCTGAGTGTAGATTTTGGCTGTTGGAGTTGACGCGTGTGTGGTGTGAGGCAGGGCCCCGCTTCACTGGTTGGCGTCTGGCTTTCCAGTTGTCCCAGTGCCACTGGGTGAGGAGACCGGTTTCTCCCCGTTGGCTCGTTTTGCGCCCGTGCTTAAAATCCATCGGCCGTAGACACACAGATCCGTCTCTGAATCTCCTTTCGATCCCGTTGGTCTGTGCGTTCTCAGGACAGTCCCGCGCTGTTTTGATTGCTGTGGCTTCCTGTGTAACTTTCGGAGGAGCGTCGGGAAGTTTTCGAGCTCCCTGGTGATCCCAGGGTGCGGCGAGGTTGAGCGTTCCCGGTGGGCGGAGGAAGATGAGGCACCATTAGGGAGGCTGGTTGGGAAGCTGCCGGAATGATCCAGGGCAGCGCTCGTGGGAGGGGCTGTGGCCTTGAAACAAAGCTGCGGTTCCGGGAACGAAGAGGCTGTGATGGACTGGAGAGAGGGGAGTGAGTGAGGGAGACGTCCTGGTCCTCCTTGATTCCAGGAAGATGCCAGGGGTGGGAATGGAAGCCAGTGGTCCGGGTGAGCTTGGTTAACCTCCTACTCAACGCCAGCATGATTTGAAGGAAGACTTGGGTCCCAGTTATAGCTCTGTTCCACTGTGTGACCTTGGGCAAGTCGCTTGACCTCTCTGAGCACCCTCATTGCCTCTGCAAGGTGGATCAATGTTCTCTGCTGCTCACACAAAGAGTCGAGTGAAGGTCAAATGGGTCAGCTTTGCAAAGCCTGGGAGGGGCTTAAAGGCAACTGAACGTGTGGCAGAATCGCCACCCCTAAGTTCCTGCCAGGTTCCAGCATCTTCCTAACGGGCTGCGGGGACTAAGGGCTCCTGGCCTCCATTGCGGCGTGTGCAGCCTGGGGCTGCCTTGGGCTGGCACTGACAGTCAAAATGTCTCCTTGAGCTGGGTTGAAATCAGTTTTCTTGTACCCGCCATCTACTTGCCCCAAATCTGCCTCGTGGGGCTGCGTCACCCCTTTTCCTCCAGGTCGTTACCCTGCATCCCCACCTGGCACCTTCTCCTCTGGGGCTGGAAGGTCGTCGCTCCCTCTGCCTCCCGCTGAAGACGCAGGTCTGGGGCCTCTCTTGACTCCGCGCTCGCCCCCTCGGTGGACTCTGGTCTGAGTTGCATTTCCCTTGGTGTTTAGAAACCGTAAATGGTCTGACCTGGGCGGGAGAGCACAGCTCCGGCCACGGGTCCGTTTCAGGGCTGTTTCTTACCTAGTTCTTAGCTTGAGCAGATGCGCTCAGTTTCTTCTCCTGCCAGATGAGGACTTCATGGCAGTTGCAGGCTCTGTGGTCCAGATTAAATGAGATGGTGGATGTCAGGTGTATTGCCCTCTGCCCCGGAAGGAGTCCAGAAAGTGGTGGGTGGACGTCATCACTCTCATCATCTCAATGCCGCCCTTCATTTTTCTCCAAGTCGGACGGATGGGGCGCGAGCCCTGAGTTTGAGACGAGGCAGGGACAGTGGCCCAGGCCTTGTCCCCTTCCTGGCTTCCGCCTCTCTGTCT